AATGAACTAATACTATATTTGTCCTTCTGTGATTGACTTATTTCACTCAGCATAATGTCCTCCAAGTTCATCCATGTTATGCGGTGTTTTACAGATTCTACATTATTCTTTAGTGTTGCACAGTATTCCATTGTTTGTGTGTTACCCATTCTTCTGCTGATGGGCACATAGGTGGTTTCCATAGTGCTGTGATGAACATGGGTGTGCGTATTATCTGTTCTTGTCCTGGCTCTCACTTCTTTAGGATATATACCTACTAATGCGATTGCTGGGTCAAATGGTATTTCTAATTCCAGCTTTTTAAGGAATTGCCATACTGCTTTCCACAGTGGTTGTATCATTTTACAGTCCCAATAGCAGTGCATAAGAGTCCCAATCTCTCCACATCCTTGCCAACATTTGTTATTTTCTGTCTTGTTGAACTTTGCCATTAATGCTGGGGTGAGATAGTATCTCATTGTTATTTTGATTTGCATCTCTCTGATGTCTAATGATCATGAACACTTCATGTATTTGCTGGCTGCTAGAATATTCTCTTTGGTGAACTTTCTACTCACATTTTTTGCCCATTTTTTAATTGGATTGTTAATCCTTTTGTTGTTGAGATGTTGGAGTTTTCCATAAATTTTAGAGATAAGTCCCTTGTCAGATACATAATTTATCAACAGGTATGAATTTGTTGCTGTCATTTTGTTATGTGCTTTTTCATACTGTTGATTTCTTTGTTCCATATAATTTTCTGTGCTGGGCTTGTTTTGTTTCTGAATTGTGTTATCACTTCCTTCGTTGCTATTATTTTAGTATTTGCTAAATATTTGTGCTGGTTCCTTTTTTACTTTGATTTGAAAGTTTATCATTTTTCTTTTAAGTTACCCTATGATTTATAATTTTCTTTCCAAGTTCAGAACAGTCCGTTCTATCTTGTAGTTGTCTTGACTTCCCTACCATTTAGAAGTTCTGTAACTACACAGTTTTTTCCCTCTTTTTGGTTTGTAGCTGTCCTCATTTGTCATTGGTGTCTCTGGTTCCCTGTTAACAATCTTGTAGGCTTATTTACTTTAGATACTTCTATAACTGGGTTGGTTTCTGGGTTATATCATCATGTGTGTTAGTGGTCAGTTGTTGTTTGTTGTTGTTGTTAGTTCTCTGTCCAAAGGACTCCCTTTACCATCTCTTGTAAGGTTGGTCTGGTTTTAACAAATTCCCTTAATTTCAGCTTATCTGGAAGTGTCCTAATTTCACCATCATATTTGAGGGACAGTTTTGCTGAGTATATAATTCTTGGCTGAAAAAAATTTTCTCTTTCAGGGTTTTATATATACCATCCCCTTGTCTTCTCACCTGCATGGTTTCTGCTGAGAAATCCAAGCTTTGTTTTATTTGTTGCCCCTTGTAGGTAACTTTTCATTTTCCCCATTTCATTTTCATTTTCAGGATTTTTTCTTTGTCTTTGGTTTTGGTGAGTTTGATGATGATATGTCTTGGTGATTTTCTTTTGATGTCTATCCTGTTTGGGGTTTGCTGGACTTCTTGAATGGATATGTTCTCATCTTTCATCATACCAGGAAAGTTCTCTTCCAATAAATCTTTGACAATTTTTTATGTGGTTTTATTTGTCTCTTCCTGTTCTGGAATTCCAATGACACATAGGTTATTCCTTTTGATGGTATCCCACATGGGCCTTAGGCTTTCATCATTTTCTTTTGACCTTTTTTCTGATTGATCCCTTTCCAAAGAAGTACTGAGGTATTTATTTGTCTTCAATCTCACTAATTCTCTCTTCCATTGATTCAATTCTACTCCTTTGCCCATTCAATGTGTTATGAAAATTTAATATTAATCTTCTGGATTTCTGTCTGTAGATTTTGTATCATTTCTAAGTTTTCATTTATTTTGTCATTTTGCTCTTGTATTGTCTTTGGAAATTGCTCTAGAGTTTTCTCTGTGTTTTCTTAAATTTTGTCAGTGTTTTCCTTGATCTGTCTCTCAATTCATTGATGGAAAAAACAAACGCACTGCCATTGAGTCAGATCCCACTCATATCAACCCTTCCTTGGGTTTCTGAGGCAGTATCACTATGGAAGTAGATTGCACAACCTTGGTACCTAAATATAATTCTTTTAAATTCTTTATCAGGGAGCTCCAATGCTGCATCTTCCTCAGGGATGTGTT